GCCAGTGGGATCCTGGGGTGCATCAAGAAGAGTGTGGCCAGCAGGACGAGGGAGGTTCTCCTTCCCCTCTACACTGCCCTGGTGAGGCCTCATCTGGAGTACTGTGTCCAGTTCTGGGCTCCCCAGTTGAAGAAGGATGAAGAGCTACTGGAGAGAGTCCAGCGGAGGGCTACAAGGATGGTGAGGGGACTGGAGCATCTCCCCTACGAGGAGAGGTTGAGGGAACTGGGCTTGTTCAGCCTGAAGAAGAGAAGGTTGCGAGGGGACCTAATAAATGCTTATAAATATCTGAAGGGTGGGTGTCAGGAGGATGGGGCCAAGCTCTTTTCAGTGGTGCCCAGTGACAGGACAAGGGGCAATGGGCACAAACTGAGGCACAGGAAGTTCCGTCTGAACATGAGGAAGAACTTCTTCCCTCTGAGGGTGACGGAGCACTGGAACAGGCTGCCCAGGGAGGTTGTGGAGTCTCCTTCTCTGGAGATATTCAAGACAAGGTCCTGTGCAGCCTGCTGTAGGTGACCCTGCTTCGGTAGGGGGGTTGGACTAGATGACCCACAGAGGTCGCTTCCAACCCCTACTATTCTGTGATTCTGTGATTCAGTTCTTTGTACTGGTGGTATGTATGACTGAAGAGTTTATCTCCTAAACTTTATAAAAAAACCCAATTATTTTCTGTGGAAATAGTGAGTACTGAAATGTCCCTACTATTCTGTGATTCTGTGATTCAGTTCTTTGTACTGGTGGTATGTATGACTGAAGAGTTTATCTCCTAAACTTTATAAAAAAACCCAATTATTTTCTGTGGAAATAGTGAGTACTGAAATGTTATGGTAACGTTATCTTTTAACTGCTTGCAAGACAGCAGCATAATAAATAAATGCTCTTACACTACCACAAATACTTGAAAAGTAAACAGAAGGCAGGAAGGAGTGAAAGGAATGGACAAGTGGTTTCATATTTGAAAAGAAAAAAACAAAAAAAAAACCTCAAAAACCAAAAAAAACCAAAAAACACCCAAAACCACCAAACAAACCCCAAAACACAAAAACCCCAAGATTTGAATTTTTTTCTTTGCTCTTTTTTCTTACCCTTAACTTAGAGTACTTAATAAAAATATCTCAAACATTTTCTGCTTCAATAAATAAAATGAAAAATGTTGGCACTTAGAAAAGAACTCTTCCAGAAAATACTTCTTCCGGATAACTTTAGAAAATGGAAAGTGTTTTAAAAAGATTAAACATTTTAGCATCTGTTGAATACGTTGGTATACTGAAAACAAATAAAAAAATCCAAACCCCTTAAAATATTATTTCTGTTAAAATACATTGCGCAACAGTGAAGTGTAAGAGCTTCTTTGTATTTAATTTACTGTTAAGTCATAGCGTTATATTGCTCAAAGGCATCCTGGGAAATCATTCTAAAAGCATCTCCCACAGCCAGATTAGCCTCAAGTTCAGCAGAGGGTTTTGTCTACCCACTAGTGGAATGATATTATAGCATGCCTAAGTGGTTTGGTCTGGTGGTTTGCCACAGGAAGAGTTAAAATACATTTCCTAAAACTTTTCGTTTCCTCTGTTACTCAGTGAAACTTGCTTGTTCTTGTTCTCCCAGTGACTGTGAAGAACAGCAAGGGATTTCCCTGGCTGGAACAACTTCTTTGAAGTAGTTAGTTCTGTTATGGCATTTTGTCTTACTACTTTGCTATTCCGGATTAATTAAATCTGATTCTTTTATCTGTAGATAGCCTTCATATGCATAAAATTGCTTTTACCTAGTGATGCATTTTGTGCATGTGCTTGACAGGGATAACTTCTCATCATTGTAAGCTGCTTCATCTCAGCTGTCAACTTGCCGGGAAGTTACTACACAAGATCTGCTACAAGTGGATTTTCTTCCTTTACCTGGGAAAAAATTATACCAGGCTCAAAAATGATGTGTACAGTTTAGAAAAGTAGAGATAGTTTACACTACTTCTGGGATCCCCCTATATTGTTATGAAGATGCCTGTAGTGTTCTTTGGCACCAATGACATAGTCTCCTGCCTTAGAAAAAGCAGAAGAATTATAGCTAGTAAGTTTCATTGGACGTTAATTTAGGCATGTGAAAAAAAAAATCCTGTAAAAAGAGTTGTTATTCTAGAAATTCAATGTAACTTAATTGTTTGGTTGAGTAGATATATAAAAGCCAAGTAGAAAAATGAATGCAAATCATACTTGATGTAAGGCTGGGCTCTAGCTATCATGTAAACAAATGCTGTATAACTTTTCTTAGCTGTTAGAAGCTAAAGATCAAGTCAATTAGCTTGACAAAAAGATTCTGTCTCCTAATGCAGAGTGGATCTTTAGATTTCCAAGGGCTGTTATTTATACCTGAAGGTTATTAAATGCATCCTCAAAACAAGTCTGCATTCCCTCCTTGCTAGCTAATTTTACTGAGATTCATTGTATTGCATTTGGTGAGGATTCAGAATTAAACATTTTGAGTTAGATTATCTGGAGTTAGGGAATATGCATAATGCTTTTGCTGTACTGATGTTTCACACACATCTCTCTGGGGAGTAAACTGAATTGTTATCCTGATGACTTCCCCCATTTTAAATTTGCTGAACCATATTAAAAACTGTGGGCCGATAAATGTTCAAAATCATGGAGACTGCTGTACTAAAGCATTTTGTTGTCTCTGTTTTGGAGTGAGAGGAGAATTAGTTTTGTTCTCTTGGAGTAAGCAGGTGACAAAGCAATCTCAAAATTCCTGACTTGCAGCAAGTACTGGCTCATTTCAGTGTTGGATGGAAATGAAACTGAGATGTAAAGATGTTGTGTGCATCTTTTTAATTGTCCTGGAGCTTCATTACAGTTTGGTTTGCAGCAGAAATAAATGGAGTTTGCAGAGCGAGCACAGGGTCTATCTGATGTGGTACTTTCAGGAGCTGTGGCACAAACTCATGACTGGAAGTTAAGCTTTATATCCCTCCTGAACAATTGCATTTCTGTGCTGTGTTGGAGCAAGAGGGGACACCAGATATCACCGGTTTGGGAAGAGGTTAAAGTTTTATATGGAAATTGTGCTGACACTTCCTAACACCTTGGATTGTACAGTTCCACTTAAGTGCATCCTCATGCCAAGATCTGCTAAGGAAAAGGCAGTTACTTTGAGAGTGCCTTGGCTGATCGTCAGCTGCAGAGTCTTTTCCAGCTGGTTCTGGCCTTCAAAACCGGAGGTAAATGGGCCAAAGCAGTTAGGAGAATCTTCCTCATGAATCAGAAGTGCGACATATATGTGTGTTTGTGTGTACATGTGCACACACATGGGCTCGTCTTGTACAGCAGTCAAAGAATATTACCCGTTAGTTGCATAGTTCACAACCTGCTTGCTTGTTTGTGCAAATGCCATTAAAAGAAAGGAAGAGGGGGGCAAAAGCAGTGAACCCTGCTTGGTTGTTCCTTCTTTCAACTGGAGGAGACTTTCTAGTTTCCTGTTTTGCTTCAGTGTAAATATTGTAATCATTTGTTTTGTTTTGGTTTTTTCTTCCCCCAGTGGGAACTGTGTATTTTTTTATCTAAAAAAATGAGTGCCAAACTCAAACATAAGCAGTGTCTCCAGTTATTTGGCAGAGTCTGTGATGTATTTTCCAATCCTATTTTCCTGTACACCACAAATATGTGCAACATGGTGAATTTAACGCTCGTTATCATTTATTTGCAGAAAAATAAACTTTAATTTAAGCATGTGTTTCAACTTTTAGAGGAAAAAAAGACCTTTGTTGTGTGATATAAGTTAAGAATAGCACTCTGTACCTCTGCAGTGTTTTCTGTGGAGAGATTTTGGAATATTGTGTTGCTATTATCCATTCAACATACTTAAATGTTAATTATATTCTGCATTGGTAGAATGAAGCATGCAAAGGTTTTTTTTTATGTAATTAATTTGATAATAAAACTGGAACTGGATCTCACGTCAGAAACCTGTTTCTGTGCTTGTAGTCGTCCTCCCAAATGGGTCATTAGTCAAAGTGAATCCTCTGAAGGTGTGTGCACCACAGTACCCTCCTGTCATTCAGTGCCACAGCTTTGTAATCTGAATCCGTTTAAGCAAATGTGTTCGACAAACTGAATTTCACCTGATTTACAATCCTGATTTACCCTGAAATCTGAACTTACTTGTGTATGAACATGTGCATCACTGCCACTGTGAACTGGCACCTAAATGTGTAGCATTGGTGTTCTCCATGTGTTTACTAATTCATTGCCCTCATGAAAGCCAGAATAAAGAGAAGTACAATGACGTGGATTTCTTAATCTCTAATACATGATAGTTTCTACAATAGTCAGAAAAAATAGATGAAGGAAAGCCGAACTGTAGGAACTGAAGATGTGAACTCTCAGCTGACAAATAGGAAAAGCTTTTCTGAACACACCACTGCAAATTCAGCGTGGCAAATCTGCAAGAAGCTGGATAGTTAGACTTCAGTTTGTGGTTGGAAGTAATAATGTATATACAAAGAATTGGAGAGAATTCTGTTACACACAGATTATTTATTGTGGGGTTCTTATGGAGTAAATTAGGTGGGGAGGAAACATAGAAAACTTCAAAATCTCCAATCTGTTAAACATATGGAATTTTGGTATGCCATCCAATCAGTCATCTCATTGTGGCCTGTCTGAAACGTGTTTTAACTCTGAAGCATGTTCAGTCTTATCATGCTATTTTAACTTTTGCAGACTTCCAACAGGACTTTTGATATTCCTCTCACTTTGTCTGGAGCAGTAGTTCTACGGGAAAGACTAAATTATGAAGAAAAGACTCGTTATTTTGTCATTGTTCAGGCAAATGTAAGTATAGATCTCTTAATGGTTATTTATGCCACTGGTTTAAGTGGGGTTTCAGTTTGCAGTTTAGATTTTTCCAAGGAAAGGAAAAGCCTTGCTGATAATATGCTTCTCTTGAAGATCTTATTTAAAAATTATCTAGGTCATTGAAAGCTTAGACATATTATTATTAGTTTAAAAAGCTTACTCAGTGTGTATAACAAGACAACCTTTTTGGCACAAGGAACAAGTTGCAAATTGGAAGTACAGGCCATGCAGAAAAGTGCATTCTAGTGTCACTAAGTGTTCATTTTCTAAGAAATCTAGCAATGCTAATTTGATCTCAAATGAGTTTAATGGATACAATTTAGTTGTATCTTTCAGGTTTGAAATGCGTTTTTCTGTAAAGAGGTGATTTTTCTTTCAAGTCATATTGCAAGTGTATATGGAGGTTTTTACAGAGTGGCTGGCAGTTGATAATGTATACTGAGAAGAAAAGATGTTTAAACTGTATCTAATATATCTGTCATCAGAGAAGATTTTTGGTGCCCTTGCATGCTGTGAAACCTTTTTTTTTTCCTTTTTATCCTTCTGATAATAGCTGAAATGAAAACTTTTCCACAGTGGCTTACCTCTGTTGTGATACTGCTTCGTTTGTGGGAAAACAAGAATGCTTTGAAGCAACTTTAAGTTAGCTTGCTCCTAAATTCACGTATTTATATTACTGTCATCTTTCTGATACAGGATCGTAGATACATTTTAGAGTCCACTTTCCTGCATATTTTGTGGCATGTTCAGCATTCCCCTAGTAGGGTCTGGGGGTGTCTCTATGCTTTTTGCACTTGGATAAATCTAAAGGTGCTTCCTGACCCACACAGTTTTGACTGGGTTGTTTTAGCTGGGTGACCTAACTTGCTGATGTCCTGAACAGGAATATGGGAAGGCTCAGAACTGATTTGGCTTGTTGTTTTATCAAAACCTATTGCGCAGATCACCACTGCATATTCACAGCTCTTTTGCTTTGATGTCAGAGCTGTGAGTTTCATGAGACGCTGCGGTCTCAGAAAAGTAATTGGGGTAGCTGGGCAGGTCATGTTTTTCAAGAGAAAGGCATGGTGTGCAGCAGTGCCAACAACTTGAGTGAGGAGGGAAGCCTGTCACGCTGCAGGAGCAACCGGTGAGGGCACAGCTTGAGATGCACAGAGGCAGTGCTGCAAAGCAAACTCATATTAATTTGTTTATTCCTTTCAATATATGCCTTACGCAGTCAATTGTCACCTTTGTGGTATTGGGTTTGGGACTAGAGCTGTGCTGGTAGCTTCTGTTTAGTGTTTATACATCATGGGGCAGCTTGCATGATTGAAATGTCTTGCTAGGCCATGCGTTTTCTCAAACATGCCCAAATGGGAAATAAGATCACTAAAATTTTGATTGCTTACAGAGGAGAAACTAGATCTCAAAGAAAGCCTCTAATTAAGCTCTATAGCCCAGCTTTTTTAGGAGTTTGTCTTATGCGCTGTTTTGGTTTTTTTTTTAATTTTACAGAATATTGCAGGCTGCTTTTAATTCATTCTATCGTATGTATTGTGCAATCATATATCTATTCTACTGCTTACATTAGCAGTGATCGTTTATTGTTCGTGCATCCTGAAGATACTACATGAAATTAATTACTCTGTATCTGTGCTTTGATCCAGTATTACTCAAAGGCACATAATGGGGGAATGTAGAAAAGATTAGTTGACGATGAAGGCTGCTTCTTGTAGCTGGTATTGTTTTTCATCATTGGCCGTGAAGAAAGCTGAGTTTAGAAATTCCCATATTTAGTAACTGTAAATGTAAAGCAGTTCCAAGAACTGAGTGGACTGCAAAGTAGGGGAAAAAAAAATGTATCCAGTCTGATTTAGAGCAATGACCTATTCATCTTACACAGATGATGATATTAAACAGCATGAATACTTAAAAATAAAATCGCTTTTTTCTGTCAATGTTATTTTAGGATAGGAGGTCAAGACTTAGCTAGTGGCCCATATTCCCTCCACAAGTTTTGGTTTTGTAAAGTTTTCCAGTTGTGGGTGGTGATGTTGGAAGGAACAGGTGGACCCAATCTATTAACGCGTGGCTCCATGGCTGGTGTCACCAACACAACTTTGGGTTTTTTG